GCTTCCTGTGCCTCGGGCGTCCATCTGAACCGCGTCCCAAGCTTAGTTAACTGAGTGATGGGGGAGACCAGACCCGAGAAGTTCTTGATGAACTTCCGGTAGAAATTTGCGAACCCAATGAAACGTTGGACACTTTTCCTGTCCGTGGGTTCAGGCCAATCTAGGATCGCTGAGACCTTCTGAGGGTCCATTGCGACTCCCGTGGTGGAGATAATCAGACCCAGAAATGTAACGCTAGCCTGTTCAAAGCAGCATTTCTCTGCCTTAGCGTACAACCCGTGCTGCCGCAACCGCCCCCACACCTTTGTTACATGTACCCTGTGCTCCCCCAGGGAGGATGAGAAAATCAAAATGTCGTCTAAGTAGACGATGACAAAGATGTCCAGGAAGTCCCTAAAGATATCATTTACAAAGTGCTGGAAGGTGGCTGGCGCATTGCACAACCCGAACGGCATGACCAGGTATTCAAAATGGCCGAAACGGGTGCGGAAGGCCGTCTTCCACTCATCTCCCTCCCTTATGCGAACCAAATTGTAGGCTCCCCTTAAGTCCAGCTTGGTAAATACTACTGCAGCTTTTAAGCTCTGGAATAATTCAGGTACCAGTGGTAATGGGTTACGATTTTTAATGGTGACCCTATTCAGTTCCCGATAGTCGATGCATGGCCTCAAAGTCTTGTCCTTCTTTTCTACAAAGAAGATCCCTGCACCTGCTGGGGAAGTGGAGGGACGGATGAATCCCTTTCGGAGGCTGTCCTCAATATAGTCCTTCAGGGCCCCTAATTCTAGCTCAGAAAGGGGAAAAATTCGCCCGAACGGAATTTCAGAACCGGGCAACAGATCGATAGGACAGTCATATGGGCGGTGGGGGGGTAGAGCATCTGCTCCCCGTTCACTGAACACATCAAGAAACTTGTGATAGGCTGCAGGAATCACTTGTTTTAGGCTGTCATCCCCTTCAGAGCACAGGAGGACCTGGGGGACCTCCGGGCCCGAAGTTCGACACAGTTCCTGACAATATGGGGAAGGGAACGAGACAACCCCAGTCTCCCAGTCAATTTGGCGGTTATGGGCCCGCAACCAAGGGAGCCCCAGAATGACTGGGAAAAGGGGTGATGCAATAGCATCCAGTCGGAGGAGTTCCTGGTGCTGACCGGCAATGGAAGTCATAATGGAAAGGGTCTCCTGGTTAACTACTCCTGACTTTATCCGGGAACCATCAGCCAAAAAGATGTGAAACCCCTTCTCCTTTGGGCGGAGGGGGATACCCTGCTGGTGAGCAAAATTGATATCCACAAAACAGCTGCATGCCCCCGAATCAACTATGGCCGTCACCTCCACGGTCCTTTCTGAAAGCTGAAAGGAGAGGGGAACAACTAAGTACTGGGACGGATTCGTATTGCCAACAGATAAAGAACATGATGAGGTGAACTTACTCAGTTTCTGCGGGCAGGAACGCACCATGTGACCAGCTTCGCCGTAATACAGGCACAGATTTTGGGAGCGTCTGCGCTGGCGTTCCTCTGGCGATAGTTTAGGCCGAGCCAGGCCTAGCTGCATGGGTTCGGGAGCATCTTCAAACGGCAGGTTCTGGATGCTTGGCCTAGCATGTTGACTGGATCCCTGAAATGACCCCCAGGGATTTCCGCGACCCTGACCAGACCTCTCCAATCTGCGCTCCCGTAGCCTACGGTCAATTTTAATGGTGAGTGCAATCAAGTCCTCTAATGTCTCGGGCACCTCCACCCGGGCGAGCTCGTCTTTCAGAGCCTCAGAAAGGCCCATACGGAACTGGTGCAAAAGTGCGAACTCGTTCCAACGGGTGTCACCCATCCAGCGCCTAAAGTCAGAGGCGTATTCCTCAGCCGCACACGCCGACCTTGTCGGAGTGCGTATAGTGTGGTCTCGGCCGAGGCCGCTCGTTGTGGGTCATCATATAAGATGGCCATGGCGTTAAAGAAGCTGTCGACCATAACCAGGTGAGGGTCATTGTTTCCCCTTAGTCGGTGGGCCCAGTCTTGGGGTTCACCCTGCAACAGGGAGACAACAAACCCCACTTTCACCGATTCTGTCAAAAAGGTCCGTGGCTGCAGTTCAAAATAGAGCAGACAGGAGTCACGGAATGACCGAAAGCGTGTGCGATCCCCATGGAAGCGTTCGGGTAAGGGTACTCGGGGTTCCGCCATAGGGAGTGATGTGGGAGGCCCAGGAGCCGGCTCGTGGGCTGCTGCGACCGGTGGTGCAGGAACCGGGGCCTGTGAAACAGGAACAGATATGGTGCAGGCCTGAAACCGATTCTCAATCTGCAGACATCTGTCCTGTAATGTGTTTACTGCTTGCGTCAGGGTGGCCAGGTGCCTGCAAACCTCGTCCAACGGGGAGAGTCCTCCTCGAGGCTCAGTCATGGCCTTCTGGTACTGTGAGGGACCGCCGAGCGGCACCACTAGTACTCCACTGGTCAGGCGTGCCCAGAGCGCGGAGTCTAAGCCCCGGGGTACTTGTTCACCAGGGCCCCTGATGGTGGGGATGGACTTGTAGTACCCCGAGACCAGGTCGCCTCTACTGAGCACACCTGTCAGTGGTAGGGGTGTTCGCCAGGGGTTCCAACCAGGGAGAGCCAGATGTGAGGAGGTCGGGTGAGCCCGATGGGATGGATGGATGGATGGCTGAGCAGGTGCGTAGTCAGACAGGCCGAGTCGGTAATGTAGAGGACGGTAAGGTACAAGGGAGCAGGCAGAGAATCGTCGGGTCACACGCCTGGTCAGCAACAGGAGGTCAGATCTAATAAGGGGCATCCAGGGAGAGAGGTCAGGCAAGCAGGGGTCTGGGCAGGAGAAATCAGCAAGGTCAAAGGCAATCCGGGTCAATAACTTACTAGGCACAGGTACAGGATCACAGGAAGCAGGTAAGACCAGAAGGCAACGAAATGACAGCTCAGGGACCTTTAAATATCCCGCCCTGCGCTGCCATTGGTGCCCAGCGGGCGGGCGCGGCTTCTACTGCGCATGCGCGAACTCGAACGCCGCGGCCGGCCCGGCCCTAGTACCCCGTGCACTGGGTGGAGCAGTGCGCCTGCGCCGGGACCATCGCGGCAGGGATCGCGGAGATCCCTGACAGATGTAATAACACAGTCCATGTGAGTGGCAGGCATATAGTTAAAGTGCACACTCACCGGATAGGCATAGAATATGCGCAGTGTATAAATCAACGGAGATCCGCCCGGAGTCCCTCTTAAGGATGGTATTGGAGATGACAGCTCAGGGTGGATGGATAAACGTCAAGGTTGGTACTGTGTCTGGAAAATCCCTTTAAGGATATGGACACAGCCTCTTCTGGGTAAAGGAATGGTCACCGTGGGGGGAGGGGGGACTCTGGGAAATTAAAAGCTCACCAAAGAGCAACAAAAGGAAATGCCCATAGTGTAGTATGTTAACGATCCAAAAAAATGTATTAAGTGTACAAGGTAGATAAAGTGCAAACATACATGCGGCAAAAACCTTAATGCAGATGCAACAAACAGGCAGCCCTTAAAAACTGCTATGAGCACTGATCAGCTGGTGTAGGTATGTTGGCCGCCGGACCTCCGTGATCTGGCAGCGTAACGTCAGAGCGTGCAGGCTTCCTCCAAGACGCGTTTCGTACAAGCAGTATGTCATCAGTTGGGGTATGCCATTTAGAGCCTGACGTTTTTTCCCTGTATTTATAGTGAGAGAAATGGTAGTTAGTTATGAACGGACACCATTTTGCCGCCGAAGACCAGACGTACCGCGAGCGGACAGGCAGCCCATTTTCCTTTAGTCCGGTTTACTGCTGCACATGCGCGCGAGCGGGCAAGCGCCATTTTCCCTTGGTCTAGTGAGTGATCTGTACCTATGCAGATAAGGTGCAGTGGAGGGTGCATATGCAAGCGCCACTGAAGCATAGACCAGGCAGGGGGAAGTAGATAAACATACACTGCTTTAACGAGCAGTGTAAAGGGTATCCGAGGCATTAAATCCTCTACTCAAAAGTAAAATCTTATTGGAGGATACACATTCAGGAGGGGATTAATCACACAATTGAGTGTGTAATATGATATATGCAAAATAGAGTAATGCCTGTCAATGCCCATATGACAAGGATCTAAAAACAATTATATAATAACGAGATAATCTTAAAACTGCATGTCAGCAATATTAAAAAGGGGTACATACATGAAACGAAATCAAAATAAAACCAATATAATTCTATTATGAATGCTGCTGCTGCTAGACTCAACTACACCTGCGCTAAACTACACCTTACCAACCGATCAGTGACTGATGCCCCTCTGTCAATCCCTTCATTGTCTTCCACTAACCCAAACGTATAAAATTCAAAATACTAACCAAAGCATACAAAGCCATCCACAACACTGCCCCTAGCTACATCACCAACCTCATCCACAGATATTGTCCAAATCGCCCTGCTCTGTTCCTCCCAAGACACATCTTGCTCTCTAGCTCCCTCAAAACCTCCTCCCACGCTCGCCTCAAGGTCTTCTCCAGAGCCTCTCCCATCCTCTGGAACTCCCTACCGCAATATGTCCGGTCAGCCCCCATTCGTTCAGCCTTTAGGCGATCTTTGAAAACTCACTTATTCAGGGAAGCCTACCCCACCTCCACCTAAGAACTGTACTTGAGCCACCTCATCAGAATATCGCCTACAGCTATCACCTTTTGTACCACCTCCCCCTTCCTTTAGACTGTAAGCTCCACGAACAGGGCCCTCCTATTCCTTCTGTACTGAAATGTATTGTAATTGTACTGTCTCCCTTATACTGTAAAGTGCTGCACACATAGTTGGCGTTATATAAATCCTGTATAATAATATTAATAATAATCTTTGTACGCCTCCCTCCCGCCATATAAGGCAATGGTGGGCGCAAGGCATTTCTATCGTTCTGGGAGGACGTCATATGACGTCCTCCCATTCTAACCGCGCATGCGCGGCTCCGGGAGAACGCAGCGTGGCGATCACCGATCAACGGAAAGAGCCGAAGATGTCGGCTCGGTCATGTGATCAGCTGTATCTAATCACAGCTGATCACATGTAAATAGGGAAATGCCAGTTATCGGCATTTCTCTCCTCACGAGCTGTCACGCTGACAGCTCGAGAGGAGAGAAGAGCCGGTAATCGGCATTACTCAGAGGGGACATGTGCACTGATCATCAGGGCACTGATGATCAGTGGGCCCTGATGATCTGTGCATCCCCACCTGTCAGTGTCCATCAGTGCCACCTGCCAGTACCCATCAGTGCCACATCAATGCCACATATCAGTGCCTAGCCAGTGCACATCAATGCCACATCAGTGCCCATCTGAGCTGCCTTTAAGTGCCACCTATCAGTGCCAGTCAGTGCCACCTATCAATGCCCATCAGTGCTACCTATCAGTGCTGCCAATCAGTGCCAGTCAGTGCTGCCTATCAGTGCCCATCACTGCAGCCTCATTAGTGCACATCAGTAAAGGAAAAAAATCACTTATTTACAAAAATGTATAACAAAAACAAAGAAAAAACTTTTTTTTCAAAATTTTCAGTGGTTTTTGGTTTGTTTAGCAAAAAATAAAACCCATGAGGTGATTAAATACCACCAAAAAAAAGCTCTGTCTCAAAAAAAATGATACAAATTTCATATGGGTACAGTGTTGCATGACCGCGCAATTGTCATTCAAAGTGCGACAGCACTGAAAGCTGAAAATTTGCATGGGCAGGAAGGGGATATAAGTGCCCTGTAGGAGAGTGGTTAATGGTATAATGTTTACCATTAGTACAAGATGTTATGGTATGTGAGTTCCAGACAAATCTGCAGCTAGAGCAGGAGGTGGCATTGCATTTGAAAAAGCCTGTAGTGTGTAACCAGGTGTTTTTAGATTGATTAGAGTAAAACAGACTAGGAGAAATGATATCGCCAATAGTTTTAGCTCTCCTGGCTACAAACTTCACTTTTTCAGATAGAATAACCTTATAATCCAATTCACCATGTAATAATGGTAAATAACGAGAGATATCATTAAATTGATTGCTATAACGTGCTGAAAAAAAAATCTGAGATTTGGTGGTCGCTTCTGTCTTCCTCTTGGGAATAGATATTTCTCTATCCTTGAGGAAAGATTCTCCAGGTGTACTCTTGACCAGTAAGTAAGCCTGGTTCACCTTATATGTGTTTATACCCCGTACTAAAAACATTTTCATCAGTTGCACCTCCATTTCAAAATCCTCTGGAAGAGAGCAATTTATCTTCAGGCGTATGAACTGACCTTTAGGGATAGCTTGTATCACATGATAAGGATGGCTACTAAAAGCATGTAGTATCAAGTTCTTTAACACAGGTTTAAGAAAGGCAGTGATTGTAACTTTCTGTGATTGAGGAGAACTCAGTAATGTAATGTCCAGTTTATAACATGCCTTTGTTGTTCTCCTATGAATCCCAAGTTAAGTGTATTGGTATTTAAATACTTCAGGAAATCTTCAAATACCAAATCTCTAGCAACAATAAAGATCAGATCATTAATGTAGCGAAAGTACGCTTTTATTTGATGTTGGTGAGGGTTGGACGTTTCATAGATGAACTGTTCCTCCCAACTCCCCATGTAGAGATTGGCATATGTGGATGCAAATCTAGCTCCCATAGAGGCTCCGTTTTTGCAAATAGAACTTGTGATCAAATAGAAAGAAGTTATGGTTTAGCAGAAAGACACTTTCAAGAATAAACCATTTTAACTCTAGATCATATTCTGTATAGAGGTCCATATGATATCTCAAAGCCTGAAGGCCCAGGCCATGTGGAATACAGGAGTATAGAGACCTGACATCACAGGTCAACCACTTGAGATGATCGGTCCAAGGAAAATCTTCTAAAACTTGAATTATATGTTTGGTATCTCAAACATAGAATGGTAAGCGAGTCACCATGGGTTGTAACAGACTATCAATGAGATTTCCTAAGGGTTCCCCCAGGGACCCTATGCTGACAACAATGGGTCTCCCTATCGGGGGGGAATCATTTTTGTTCACTTTCGGTAAGTGGTGAAAGACTGGTGTGACAGGCGATCTGGATACAAGCTTCTTTGCTTCCTCCAATTTTAAAATGGTTCAAACAGCTTCTTCTACAATGCATTCAGGTTGATGTTGGTATTGGGAGAGTAGGATCTGTCAAAAGGGGTTCAAGTATCAAATAGTTGTCTCAGGGCCTCACGATGATAATCGATTGTATTGAGTACAACTACCACTCCCCCTTTATCCACTTCTTTGATGATAATATGCGTATTGTCCTTCAGAGAATAAGTTTTTTTCTTTCTTGGAGAACCTTCAACTTCACGAGCTAAAGCAACCAAATCTTGTTCAACTAATTTCTGAAAAATGTCCAGGTTTTCTCCGTTGGATTGCACTGGATAGAAGTCAGACCGTAAAGTAGAAATGATTTCAAGATATTCTGGGACCTTGATCTTATCAGATACACGGATCCCTGAAAAGCCCTGGTCAGCAGAACTCATATCATATACAGTTGTGTTCAAAATAATAGCAGTGTGTTGAAAAAAGTGAATAAAGCGCAAAATCCTTCTAATAGCTTTTATTTCCATACACACAAATGCATTGGGAACACTACACATTCTATTCCAAATCAAAACATGAAGAAAAATAGATCAAATTTGTGTTGTTCCTCTAAAAAAATTGAAGAAAAGTGATTAGACTGTTCAAAAAAATAGCAGTGTTTGTATTCTTCTTTACAAACCCAAACATTCACTATATAAACTGAAAAATGTTTGAAGATTTTGCTTTCCTTTGAATCACTTAATATTTAGTTGCATAACCACTGTTTCTGAGAACTGCTGTACATCTGTGTTGCATGGAGTCAACCAACTTCTGGCACCTGTGAACAGGTATTTCAGCCCAGGATGATTGGACTACATTCCACAGTTCTTCTCTATTTCTTGGTTTTGCCTCAGAAACTGCATTTTTGATGTCACCCCACAAGTTTTCTATTGGATTAAGATCAGGGGATTGGGCTGGCCACTCCATAACGTCAATCTTGTTGGTCTGGGACCAAGATGTTGCACGTTTACTGGTGTCTTTGGGGTCGTTGTCTTGTTGGAACACCCATTTCAAGGGCATTTCCTCTTCAGCATAAGGCAGCATGACCTCTTCAAGTATTCTGATGTATTCAAACTGATCCATGATCACTGGTATGCGATAAATAGGCCCAACACCGTAGTATGAGAAACATCCCCATATCATGATGCTTGCGCCACCATGCTTCACTGTCTTCACAGTGTACTGTGGCTTGAATTCAGTGTTTGGAGGTCGTCTGACAAACTGTCTCCGGCCACTAGAACCAAAAAGAACAATCTTACTTCATCAGTCCACAAAATGTTGCGCCATTTCTCTTTAGGCCAGTCAATGTGCTCTTTGGCAAATTGTAACCTCTTCAGCACGTCTTTTTTTCAACAGTGGGACTTTGCAGGGGCTTCTTGCAGATAGCTTGGCTTCACATAGGCGTCTTCTCATTGTAACAGTACTCACAGGTAACTTCAGACCTTCTTTGATCCTCCTAGAGCTGATTGTTGGCTGAGTCCTTGCCATTTTGGCTATTCTTCTATCCATTCGAATTGCAGTTTTTCACTTTCTTCCACGTCTTTCAGGTTTTGGTTGCCATTTTAAAGCATTTGCAATTATTTTAGCTGCGCAGCCTATCATTTTCTGCACTTCTTTATATGTTTTCCCCTCTCCAACTTTTTAATCAAGGTACGCTGTTCTTCTGAACAATGTCTGGAACGACTCATTTTCCTCACAATATCAGAGAGAAATGCACTGTAACCAGCATGCACAACATTTGCCGACTTCCTTCCTTAAAAAAGGACAATAATTTCCACCTGTTTTTCAAAGAATGAATGACCTCACTAATAGAACTCCACACTGCTATTATTTTGAACATGCCCCTTTCAATTAGTGATTCAATTACACAGAATCAGCAGCATGCATGTCATGACTGTTGGGTCTGTTGGATTTCTATTACTCTACTACACCTGCTAGTAAATTATTTGCCATGTAGAAATATAATTTCTAACAAAAACAGTGATTGATCAGGTTAGTGATGTCTGACTGCTATTATTTTGAACACAACTGTATAAGACAAAAGTCTTGAAAATCAAATTCAATTTGATGATGACCCAAATGCTGTGTGACATGTAAAAAATTTGATACTTGTGTGCAAAAAGTGCTTTTTTAATGTAAGACATCTGGCAAAGTTGCCTACATCTAATACAGTGGAGAATAAATCAAAATCACGTGAAGGTTCAAAATTTAAATCTCTTCATAAGATGGCTTCCTCTTCCAATGACAACTTGTAATCAGAATAGTTGAGATCAAGATCAACTGGAGAATGACAAAGCTTTCTGGGTCTCTGATAGCTTTTTCTTCTCATTCTTTTCTTTTGGATGACTGTTTTTGACCCCCTTTGTTTTTGTTCTGGGGGGGGGATAATACTTTTTTGACTGGGATGAGTTGCTATCTTCCGAGAAAGTATCTTTTAGTTTATGCTTTCTGTCCTGGGAATGGGTGGGGGCAGGCCTACATGCTGACAAGGACTAGTCAGCAGTCAATGGAACCTTGTGGAGCCAGGAACGCTTGGCACCTCCTGTGGAGCCTGAAGGGCTTGAGGTCTCTGATAAAGGAACCAGAGGAACGGGAAAAAAGGACCAAGCTAACAACGTGGCTCCTTCCCCTTCTTGGTCTATGGAAGAAAAGAACTTCTGATACCCGGAAAACTCATGAGGATGTCATCCAAGATGCCATTGTAGAGATGTTCACCCTGGAAGGGCAAGGCTGCTCAGGCTATAGTAGACATCCAGCCAACAGACCAACACTTAAGGTAAGGTAGCCTCCTGGAGTACCACAGCCAAGAGGTAGAGCTGAATAGCAGCAGGCCTGCATCCAAAGATGTGTAACAAGGGCACTTAAGGCCCCAGGCCAGTTGGTCTGTCAGTTCGACGTGCACTGAGGACACCCATCCTGTATGCTGACCTTGTATAGAGCTTTGACCCACAAAACAGGCGTCTGAGACACCAGGGCCATGAGGCCCCCAAGCCACAGTGTAAAACTAGCAATGGAAAAACACAGTGCATGCAACCATTCTACTATACGACCCGTAGGATCCTTCTGTCCCCTGGCACATGGTTGCTTGTTCAACCTAGAGATAGGGGGGATCCACCATAGGCTAGGAAGGTAATGCACAGAACAAGTGCTCCAATTGTTCCTGAAATCTGTAAATACATATAGAAAAATATGCAGTACACAAAAATACCTTAGTGGAGTTAGCTGGTTGTGTGCACCGAAAAGGACAGCCACCTCTGTCACACGCAGAGGTAGCATCCTCACCTGGACTGCAGACACCCCTGCAGGGGTATAGGAAC